CCCCCCCCCCCCCCCCCCTCACCGTGTCCTCACCTGGCCCGCATAACCGGCTGTAGTGGTAGGGGTTGCAGCACACCTTGACCCCGTCCTCCGCCCCGTAGCTCTGGCACTGGCTCAGCGCTTTGAGGCGGGCGGAGGCCGGCAGGTCCCCCCACCGGAACAGCCTACACAGAACGTGCTGCGGAGGGATGCGCTGAGCCCCGAGCCGCAGCTCCGAGCCGGGCACCATGACGCACTCTCCCGGTACCCCTCCTTTGGTCTCCACGGCCCTCACCAGCGCGTCCAGAGACCTCTCCTTGAGTCTCTTTAGGAACGCGTGCGCGGCCAGTTCCTCCTCCTGACCCGCACCGGGGTCCCCCCCGTCTTTCCTCTGAGTCCAGTACGCGCTCCGGGGTCTGAAATCCCATTCACCGAACAGACAGCACGTCACCGTCCCGCCGTCGGCCTCCGGTTCCCGCTCCGGGACGCACGTGGCCGGCCCCGGTTCATCCTCCGGGGGCTGCTCCTCCTCCGGCGGGTCTCCGGCCCCGGCCGCGGCCGCGGGTCCCGGACCCGGGCCCGGGCGTGCGCGCGTCACCGGCCCGGGCTCGCGTCTGTGGAGCTTCCTGCCGCGCGCGCCGTCCCGCGCCGCCCCCTCGCTCCGGCCGCATCCATCATCGCGCGCGCCCTCGCTCCCGGTGACCAGACGGCTTCTCCAGAGTCGCCGAACGAGACCTGAGCGTTTGGACTTGAACATATACGACAACCTAGACAGCTTTTAGAAGAGTCCCGTCGGGTCCCGTCCGCCTCTCGCGGGATGCCGCATCGATTTACACGGGTCGCCGAACACCGGGAGTCTGTGCACGGTGCGCGCAAAAGGCGCAGCCGGTGGTCACCCAACTCTGGCTCTCGCGCAGCATCAGCCTGTAACGTCCGGTCATAAGTCACGTTTCACATCACCGGACCTTCCGGGGAGGCAGAAGGCTGCACGAGAGTCACCGCGCGGCGACCCCCCTTCTGTCGCCAAAAAATGCAATTAAACCACAACTTTTGCCTCGAAGCCTCTCCGGAGATCCCGCACGCGACTCACGGACCATAGTCAGGTCCTCCCGTGGACCGGGACCGGCGCCACGGGAAACATCAAAAACCACCAAGCCCCCCCCAAAAAAAGTTTTCCACAGTTTCGCCTCGATCCCCCTCGGTCCTTGCAAA